AGAATTGCTGGGCAGATCTGCACATACCTTTAGAGCCGTGTGTCCAGAGGACCCAGAAGAGCAGGAAGTCTCCATGAAACATGCCTCCCTACCCAGACCACTTCCCCAGAGCAAGCCCTGGGTTACACAGGCATGGTCATGCTTGCTCAGCTGCAGGGCTAGGCCACAGCATGGTGGACACTGCTGTGGTTGTGCACAGGTGGCCCAAGAAGGGAACAGGACAAGCACAGGCAGTGCTTTCCCCAAGTACTCACCCAGACCCCAGCTATTTCAGGGAGGTTCCCACACCAAACGTGATTTGCCAGCTTGGTAGCCCTCCACAGATCTTGCGTCCAAGTTACTTCTCCAGCCTCCCCTTGAGCCTACACAAACTTCCCATGACATCCTTTGGCACAGAGTTGCACAGTTGCCTCCCTAATCCTTGATGAACCATTCCCAGCACCCTTCCCCTCCTCTCTTTTGCCTTAAAAAGCTCCCACCCACGCCCTTCTCTGAGAGGTGTTAATTTGCAGGTTGATGAGGAGCTTTGTTACCCTCCTGTGACCACACAGCTGCTACTTGTGGAGATGTCCATCGGCTTTGCAGGCATTTGCCATCAGCAGAGTAGGGTGAAGCAGCAGAGTGGCCTCTGCCCTGAGCCTGCCGACAGCAGCGGGTGTGCCTCAGCCCTGCATCTCCAAATCCTGCAGGCAGCGATGCAATCCTGGCCCCTGCCATGAGGACATTTTAGTAAGATGAATGGTCTTGCTGGGGACTTGGCCTGTCCCTTCTAGGAGTGCCCATTTCATAATCTTATCGGGGAAGAATCTAATAAATAACTTTAATGGTGGCTCACAGAGATTCATTCCACTTAAACATCACCCCTCAAAAAAACCCCACTCATGAAAAGACGTTAATCTTTGCATGAGAGCGTGCCGGTTCAGTTCAGCTACATCAATCTGCCGTTATACCCCACGGACCTGTTAACCTGAGTCTGAGACAGATGTTTAATACATTCATTTAACAAAAGACTCAGACACTCCACTGTCAGTGTCTTCATGAATCACGGCACCGCAACACCATCCCCCCCGAGTGACCCCAGAGCCTCTAGCGTCACCACTGCCCACCAGCTCTCCCGTCCAGCAGCACAGGCACCTCAGTGGGGTTTCTTTCTCTGGATTAGGTAATCCTAATCAATAGGAATACCAGTTTAAACTGAACGGTGTTTGAGCCATTAGCCAGAGAAAATAATTCAAGAGATGGCAAAGCACAAGATATATATTACATACAAGTCATATGGGAGATGGAAAGCACCAAACACCCTGTGTGGTTTCAGCACAGCATGGTCCTCTGGCAGTGCTGGGTGAAGGAAAGCCATGGCTGAAGGTCATACAACTTGCAGACACATGAATTAAATCAAAATCATTGTGTTGTCGAGTAGCTGCCGCTCCTGGAAAGACTCCGGGTGTCCGCTCTGCCGGAGAAGGAGCCCAGACAGAAACCTGTGCCTGTTCTTACTGGGACCATAGAAGATTTTGGCATGGAAAAGCATCGGCTGCGCTGTCCTCCCCCCTGCCCCATCCTGCACACCGGCACACAGTGGGCTTTCAGCCCCGCTACGGCCGGGCAGGCACCCTGGGTTTGACCTGCAGGAAAGAGCCGAGCCCTAGCCGGAACCCCCGGGAGCTCCTGGGGCAGCCGAGCCTTGGCACCGCTGGGATGGAGCCTCCCACGACACCTCAGCCTCCACCTCATTAGCTTTAGCCTTTGATAAGCAGCATGCTGTAAGCTGTACGGGCTACAAAGGACAGGTATGCGCTAGCCACGCTGCTTTGCGCGCTGCTGGAAGGGGCTAGTTACTGCGGGGAGGGGCGGGGTGTAACGACTGCTGGAAAGCAGCCGGAAACTTGCTTGTGTCTCGAATCAAGTCTGACTTTGGCATCGGCTGAACTCTTCACAAATAAAAAAAAACCACCCGAAGGAGGAAGGAAGGCTTCACGCTTGGCTGCGTTATTAGTTCCCTCGCCTTGCCAGAGCATCCAGGGCGGGAGGTTTCTGCACCCCCTCAGCCGGCCATGCCGGCCTGTCGAGCTGCAGCCCACACCCCACGATCGCTCCGAAAGGGCTTGCAAATGCATTCGGACTTCTGAATAAAAGCACAGATGCTGTTTATGCTGTTCCCTAGCATCTCGGTGCACTGTATTTTTTAAAAATGATTTGAATCAAAGCTCTCATTCTTTAATTAAACTTCATTTAGCTGCCATCTGCCTGGGATCAAAATGGCTTCATGTTTTGCAACTCTTAATGAGGATTGTTATTGGATTTGTAAACACATAAACAACAACAACACCCCCCCACCCCCCCCCAAGTCTTTGAAAAGTAATAAATGAGAAACGTGGCTCAAGTGTTAAGATCTGCATCTTCGCTCGTCTAATTGTAATGGAGCGGATCCCATTCAGCAGATAATCACTTTATACACAAAAACCGAGTATAAAAATACCCTGCAACTGCAGGATCGAGATTAGGGAAGCTGTGAGAATTACAGCTGAGGGAAAACAGTAATAAAGCAATATCTTTCATTTTTCCAAAGTGGGAAGGGTCAGCACACCTGGGTCACGAGAAAACACAGGCACTGAGGGCAGGAGTTTCCCACCCCAGCCACGTAAAATGAGCAGTGGATGTTGTGGCCCTGAAATTTTCGAAGTTACAGTGGGAACTATTGCTATTCACTGCCTAAAATACATCTGTTACCAGAACTTAGCAGCCTCAAAATCCAGCCTGGGGATACTGGAGGTGCCGGGCAGCCGCGGAGCTTCCCGGCCGAGCAGATGGGGCAGGACACAAGCTGCCCTTCGGTGAGCGGTGCTGCGGGCACGCAGAGCTCCACTGAATGGAGCAAGAAACTTGGGGAGGAAAACCTGAGCCCAGAGCTTTGGCTCAGCCCGTGCCGTAGCGGCGCAGCCAGCCTTCCCCTGCCCCATCTGGCGAACCAGGCTCTGGGGAAGCCGGCTGGGGGAGAGGGACGAGGCAGAGCCGGGAAACAGCCGCACGCTGCCCCCTTGCTCGGCTTCCCTCCCCACATTGACAGCCTTTACAGTTGCATTCACCTTTCTGAACTAAATCATTAGTCCCCCGTGTAGCTCCCATGCCCTAATTTAACTCCACTGCCCGCATTCACCCCTGCCTTTCAGCAGCAGCAATTAGGGCCCCGTGCAGGGCGCAGCGCTTCAGACCTACACCCTGCGAGCAGCCTCCCCGCAAACGCCGGCGTGTTCATGGGATGCCGGGACCAGCCGCAGACCTGGGGCAGCCTCACACATCTCCACTCATTACTGAACTGCGCCGCTGCCTTCGGTGCTACAGCATCAGACCTTTATTATTTTAACAGGAAAAAAAAAAAAAAAAAGTCTAAATATAATGAGTGTGCCCTCTCAGGAGACACCTACTCGGTGGGGTTTGATCTGTGAATGAGCCCCTTTCAGATATCTGGGAAGAGAAAATTGTGTTTTTACCTCTGAATCATGTTTCTTTGTTTCCTAATTGGAGATGCCAAAGGTTTGAGCATCAGGCAGAAACATGAAAGACTTCAGATTTTGATGCCAACCACTCAGATGTCAAACTGCATTTCTAATTGGGGTCACTGATACAGATCTTTGCCCTTCTTTCGGCTGTCGCCTTTGTGCCGTCTCCTCCATTTGTTTGGGCTTTTATTATCTTCTGTGATCATTTGCATCTAACTCCACGGAAAATGCAAGTCCAGGAAATAAAAAAGACTGCAGCTGCCTTGAAAGACTTCTACCCACTGTCAAAACCCTCCGGTGGCCTGAGAAGACAAGGACTCGAGCGGACCAAAAACCTGTAAAATGAACGTAGCGGCACATTGCGCTCAGAAAAACTGTCACGAGTGACTTTGATCCTGTGCCCCCTACCGCCCATCCTCCAGCAGACCCCAGCCGCTGCTTTCAGGGCAGGTTTGCTCTGTGAAAAGGCTGTGACCTGTCCTGCAGCCTGGAGGGATGCCCAGCAATGGTCACCCTGCAGGGACACTGCCAAAGCTACAAACCCCAGGGCACTGCGCTTCACTGGTGGTTCCTGCTGGGCTGGAACCCACCCGTGGAACACACACACTGGGATGTTTCTCCTCGTTGGTTTCTCACGCCGCCCTCATGCCGCCATCGGCTCCTGACACGTCTCGCCCGCGCACGGCTCTCAGCGGACACAGAGCACAAGTCAAACACGTGCGGGGGTTAGGAGGAGTGGTCGGCGCCATTAGCTTCTGCTGCCAAACTGCAGGAGTGGAATGGAACTAAAATTGCCGGAATTTCAAATCATATTCCCCAATTTACTGGGTGGTGTCTCATACGGGGCGAAGCGGCCCAGGGCACGCTCCCCTGGCTGCTCTCAGCAATGCCACCTGCAGCTCTTGGTCCAGCGTTATGGAACCTGCGGGGCACCAGCGGGATGAGCCTGTACTTACTGCGGGAGCTTCCTCCCCGTAAGGCAGCAAAACCTCTTAGAAAATCAGAAACAGGGACAGGCTTCACCGGATGGAAATCATTCCCTGGTTCAGAAGCCGGTTAAACACACGCAACCGAAATTGCTTCTGTGCCTTTCAGTCCGGGGCAGCAGGAGGCCGGACACGAGAGGCCTTGGGGGGAATCTTGCTCCTTGCAGGGCCTGAAACCTCCTTCCCGCTTAATCCAAACCCACTTCTGCTCCAGAGCCAACAGGACTCGTGGGCGCAAGTCTCTGATGCCCCTAAGGGCTGGTTCCCTCCTCTGTCACCTCTGCGGTTTGGTACCACTCCTCCTGCAGCGCTGTATGTAAATTTTTACGCCTTAGATCTAAATTAAATGAAACATTAAAATGTGTCAAACCTCTTGGTTTTAAGCACTGGTGACACTAAGGATTTTATTGAGCAGCCAAAACATGACAAGGTCTGTCCAGGGGAGCCCTCCTGCACTTACTCTTACCTATAAATGCTATTTATTTATCAATAATATACGTAATAAAATAAGTACTTTTAAGAGCAAGGCAACACTTTTTATTTTTATTTAAAAAGGCCTTGATGGCAGGAATATAGTGTAAAAATCATTGGAAAAACTAAAAGGCATTGATACATATTGGAATATACACTTTTTACATAAATTACATTTATTTATTTATTCTTTCATTTGAGGTTCTTATTCGGTATTGAGGTCTAATAGTTAATAGGTCCTGGGATCTGGACGTTTAGACCACCATAGTCTAACATGTACATGTTCATGGGCCATTGCTGAAAGAGAGGGAGAGAAAAAGAAGGCAAAAGTCTCCGTTAGGACACAACACAAAACCATGCATACATCAAATCTCTGACATGTTCCGACATGGGCTGTTGCTCCCACTTTCCAAATAACAGAAAAGAGCCAACCCCAAACCAAAACACCACTGGCAAACCTGACAAAAAAACCCTTTTAAGTTTATATTTCTCGTGCGCTTTAATTGTTTTTTAAAAGCATTTGGTATCATCCACAACAGAAGCCAAGCCCTGAGGGAAAGCAGCTGGATGCATATATCTGATTTGATTTCCTATTTTCCCAGTTTCACTGCAGGCCGGAGCTCTGCATCGCTCCCAGGACGGAGCCGGAGCAGCGTGCCGGGCCGCAGCTCAGACCGGGGGAGACCACCGGGTCCTGCCAAGAGGTGCCACAGGCCGAGGCGACACCACCAGCACCGTGTTTACCCCAGTGGGGCGGGGGGATTTGCTCGAGCCTGTCTCACGTACGGCTCCTGCTAGCGCTGAGCATCCTCCCGAGGCACCCGGCAGGACCGATGTGGGGCAGCCCCGAGGGGCGGCAGGTGCTTTGCTCCGCTGACTCCCCCAGATAAACCCTGCAGGAAAAGGCAGCCCCAAAGCTGCGTCCCCTCCTTCGCCAAACCTGCTGGTGCCGTTTGACGCCACACTTTAGAGTGTTTGTCAGGCGGAGGGAGGTGGTGACGATTCGAGGAGAGCAGAGAGCCGCATCCTGAAGCAGAAAGATAGGTAGGCAGTAACCCCCCTAATATTTGGAAGGCTTTACCACAAGTGAGATCTGATTTGTTGATGATGTAGACTCCATATTGGAAGAGGAAGAAGAGGAAGATGAGGAAGAGGAAGATACCGAGTTCCCTTCGGAGATCCTCTTCCGCTTCCGTTTGGGAACGCTGGCGTCTTTCTCTACAGGGAGAGAGGGAAGGTATGAGGTGTCTGAGCCCTGCGAGTGGTCCCTAAATGCGGAGACCCATCCTGGCACTCCGACCTTGCCTCCTGCTGACGTCCCCCCCGCGGTGATCCGCTGTGCCACTGCTGGTGACATGGGCTTGGCCTCCACAGGCTGGCGTGGAGCTGCCAGCTTTCCTCAGGCACCCGCAAAGAAAATCCCCAAAATAAGTGAATCCCAAACTCCAGCACTTACAGAGCCTGATATCCCACAGACGTGTGTCTGTGCTGGATGCTTTGAGGCCCTGAAGGTGCCAGCTGTGATGATGATATGCCCATCTATATCTGCATATATGATAGACCCGTATACAGCTGCATATATAAAGTTTCTTGTGCATCCCTTTTTCACGTCGCAGGCACGCTCTTGCTTGCCACATCTCCCTTCTCTACCGAGCCACCTATTTTCATAAAACTGATAGGGTCCTAATTATCTCTGGGGCTGCTAATTCTGACACATTTCATTAAAGCTGGATGAGCTTTATTGGGGAGGATGGGACAGAGAGAGAAATGCATTCTCAGCGATCACAGAAACCTTGTTTCCTTAGAAGCTCAACTGCTAAATGATGGCTTAAATTAAGGGCTTTAACCAGTGAATAAATTGCTCATGGTGAGTGAACTGCTAATGGGAAAGGGGTAATCATATCCTCCAGAATATGCTGGAAGTTTGAGTCTAACAGCCCAGACTCCCCAGCACACTGTAGTGCGATCGTCTAAGAGGATGGTTCGCTCCTGCACAGATGCTGACCTTGACTTTTCTTTTTCCAGATAGGATCTTCCCCTGGGGCGGGGGTTCGAACGCCTCCCCACAACCCCCATCCGTTTTGCCAACATATTCTCTCTGCCACGATGCAGGGAAAGCCATGGTCATTTCTTAGCCCTCCCCTTACCTGTTTGTTTGGCCTCAGTGCAGATTTCGGCAAACGGCCTGCGTAAGAGACAAGGGGGTGAGAGCAGGCGGACGCCGTCGTTTCTCCCCTGCGTGCTGCCGTTCTGGGGCGCAGCCCGGACCCCGACACGGAGCTGCCTCCCCCAACACCCCTTTGTGTGGGGACGGGCGCGGAGCCTCCCCACTGCTCCCCGGAGGGAAGCAACCCCAAATAACCCAGCTGGGTCTCTGAGCCATCCCACTACCTGCCCCCACGTTGTGTCCCTTCCCAGCATCATCACCTCAAACTGCGCAAGGCAAAGGAGATGAACCATCCCCAGTAACGCTTTGCTGTGCCCACCCGTGGCCGAGCAGGTCCCTGTGGCACAGGACAGCGGGCGCAGGGGATGGAACGGGTCCTCCCCAGGTAGCCGGTGCCATGGCCTCGCGCCGGTGGCCCCGCAGGGACTTACCCCACCCGCGGCTACAGAAGCAAGGGCAACGCTTAACAGACAGAAGCCTTCCCCAGCTGCAGAGCTGCGGGAACTTACTGGAGCTGGTTTATAATCACCATCCGGATGCTCTCCCGCGCCTTCAGGATCTTCTCCAGCCGGTGGATGTCGTAGGTATTGGGGTTTCTGAAAGGGATATCGTCCGGCAGCCCAGTAACCTCCACAGCGTCAGGACTGTCCCTGATGAGTTTATAGGGCACCATGACGGGCCGGTTCAAGCCCAGAGCCTCTCCTGTAATGGCAGAGCAGAGGACAACGCACCGGCTTTACCCCACAGGGCTCTGACCCAACCGACTGAAGGACCAAGAGCCCTGGGAGGACTTTGGGAAGCCAGGGCTGCTGTGAAGCCTGACATTTGCTGCAGCCATGTCCCACCCAGCCGTTTCACATCTGCCTGCCCAATTTATTGCCTGCTCTGGTGGTCTCCATTTAGGATCCTGCCAGCAGCCTCAAGCGAGGGCTGTTTTACAGCACCAGCACTTGCACACCCACCTCTCCTCCATGCAGAGCACACCCATCGCCGCGCTTGCACCAGCCCATGGCTGGGCCAGCAGCAGCAGGGTGGGAGACAGCTCAGGAGAGGGGGCAAATGGGAGAGATTTGTCCATCTCCTCTTGCCTCCAGCTGTCAGCAGGTTTGGGGGTCACTGGGGTGGAGATCAAACCCATTGCTCATCATCACATCACATCGCTCCTGCCCATTTTTTGAATCCCTTTATCCCTTTGGCATCCACAGTATCCTCTGGCAGTGAAATACCACAATTTAACACCTTGCTGCATTAAAAGTACTTCCTTCTGTGCGATTTAAACCTGCTGCCCACCTCTCTGGGTACCCCTTTAGTTCCCGCACGGCGGGGAGCAGCGAACATCCCTCCCTCCAGTGCTCATCCTGATTGTAAGAGCCTGCTCTCGCCTCACGTCCCTGCAGCCCCCTAACCTGAAGGTGTGAGCTGCCCCTCAGCCACATTTCTGCCTTTCCTCGCAGTGAGTTCGTCCCTGCAGCCCACCTGGCATCTTGTGCTCCATAAACGGTGCCAGGACCATGGGAACGCAGGGATCTGCTGTGGGCTCTGTTGAGCTGGGGTGGATGGGGTTGCTCAGAGCCTCCCCGGGGAGCTGTGCCTGTACGCTCACACCTCCAAGGGAGCAAACCCACCCCCAAAGCAGCACATAGCCCAAATCAACAGGATTTGTGGGAAGGGCAAGCAGCCTTGACAAGGGGAGACTCGGGAAAGGAGGGGAATGGCATTCCCCACTGCTTTCCTATCCTTTTGGCTATTTTCCTTCTCCTTCAGGCGGGGAGGGAGGCAAGACACCGCACTGCAGCGGTGGGGTGCCACCGAGCTGCCGTGGCCCAGCTGCGCAGCTCTGGGGAGTCAGGCTGAGAAATAATCACCCCGCACTTACGCAGGCTGTGCCCCAACGGTGACGAGGGGGGCTGGCTCCTCTGCTCCCCCCGACCCGGCGGCTATTCCTGCGGTGCTTTTTCCTAAGGACGGGGGGCAGGAGGGGGTCGCTAGGCAGCACAAGGATCCTGCCAATGGCATTTTCAAATCTTCTTCAATCTCCTGACCTCCTTTTCCGCCGCTGCAGCTCCTGCAGGCTTTTCCCCAGCCGTGCTGCATGCCGGGCTGCGGCTCCAGCTTTGCCCCCAGCCCGGCAGGCAGAGCAGGCAGGGGTTGCCTGCCAGCAGGCTGGCGCAGGGCAGGCACGCTTAGCACGCGCACCGTGGCTCACGTCGGCTCAGGACACGCTAAAACCGCATCAAAGGCTGACACCAGACCGAACAAATCCTGCTCCTCTGCTGCGTTTTTTCCGTCCTCCCTCCCCTCACCAAGGATGAGCTGTCAACAAGAAGGTCACGGTCCCACCTGCCGGGAGCGAGACACAGGAACGTCCCTGGGGACAGGCTGTAACGTGAAGCAGTGGGACGAAACCTGCGCTGCAGCAGGCTGCCGTGCGCTCAGCCTATAAATAGAGGCCTTCAGCCGAATTAATTTTAACTATGGCTGCTGTCAGCAAAAGCAAACTCGCCTGGCGGTGCGTGCAGATGGGGGACTCACCGTATTTTTCATTGAAAAGCTCTTTCACTTGCTCTCGGAGAATCACCTTCTCTCCGAGTCTGTTGGCATCGTCCTCATCTGCAAAGCAAAGAAAAAGGACAGGGAATAACACACCCCATTCCCGAGCCCCTGGAAATCCCATCCCGCTGTCAGAACGCACGACCACATCTCTGTCCCTCTGCCCCAGCACACCGTGGGGACACCTCGGAGGCGGCTGCTCCGCGCTTGCACCTCACGTCGCCTTTTAGAGTCGTGCAAAGTCGCTATAAAATGCTGCCAAATCTGCATTTGCCACGCGCTGCCATGGCTGAGAGCACTTTACATCCACTTTGCGGTGCTGTAAATGACTGCAAAATATGCAAAGCAATGGAGACTCAGGCCCTCAGTGCCACGAATGCTCCCACAAGTGATATCAAGGAATGAGATAGCACTTTTATAGCTGGGCTCCTAAGTACAGTATTGTTTTATAATATGCCATATAATCAGCTTGGCTTTACTAGCTTTTTTAATTATCCTCATCGTGCCAAACAGTTTCTCCTCCATTCTCTCATTTCAAACAACGTGCCTATGTCAGTAGATTTTTTTCCCCCAGCTATTCAGCACCCTCGGGGGGCTCCAGGAAAAGGGACTGGGGCCAGTACCGGCTCCCTTTGATGCTTTTTCACCTCGCAGGGATAAAGCACCAACTGAATGAACTTACCCACCTCTCGCTGGGGTTACCCCCCCATCCCGAGCCAGCTGGCGTGCGCAGCCCAGGGCCAGCTCGGTGGGGTCTCCTCCCGGAGGGGAGGCATCACCACCACAAGCCTCGCCGCTCCCAAGGCAGGCGTTTTCACCCAGGCTGGCACGCCACGGGGCGGAAATCCAGGGTGGTTATTTAAAACATGAAGGTGAGCGCTGCAACCCTCAGCATGAGGGACCCAAGCATCCTCTGCCCCCAGTCTGCAGCTATTGAATTTGATTTTGAGCAATCACATGATTTTTGTTTTGGGTTGAAGCAAACACACGGCTTGCAGTTTTGTTTTAAAAGCAAACTGAAAACCTGACGCGAGTCTTTGCCTCCCTGCATGGGACCCCAGAGCCCAGCACTCAGCACCCCCAGTGGAAACCACACGCCTCGGCCACCCTGCTGCTGAGGGTCCCTGCTACTGCAGGGTCTGGCCTCAAAAAAGGCTCTTCTCCACCTGGAAAACAACAGTTTGTGTGGATATAACTGGCAAAACAAAAAGGGAGAAGTTTCTGTGAAGGAACCTCAGGGCCAAGTCGTGCTTCAAATCCAGAAATGGCAACAAAGCAGCTTGAAAGGGATGAAGCAAAAAACAAATAAAATAGAAGAAAACCAAATAAATGTTGCCAAGGAGCTCTGATTTCAAAGAACCAAGACCTCGCCTTGCGGTGCCGCTCCCGAGGCCGCGGCAGGCTGGTGGGGACGACCCCTGCGGGTTCTCTCTGTGACTTCCCTGTCATTGATGCTCAGTTTCTGGGCTGTATATACACACCCGTATGGATGTGTAGATGGTAGCAGACAAAGAAACACTAAATCAAGTGTTGTCACTCGTTTAATTCTCTGGGACTGAAAACCACAGCAGCTCTTTCCTTTCCGCTCATGCCCTGAGCAACCCGAGTGCAAGAAACAAGATCCCAAGGGGGTTTTTTCCACCTTGCAGTGGGCAGGACTGCCAAATTCCCACCCAAGGACTCAAACGAATGCCATGAGAAACCTGGAACTGAGCATGCATAACAGAGAAGCCAGAGAGGAGGCTCTGGCCGGCGGCACCGCTTCCTGGGGACCTGCCCTTCCATCCCCAGGCAGCTCCGGGCAAGAGGGATCTCTGTCTACCTTTGACTTTATCCATTTAGGTTTGGGAGATAATCGACTCAAAGAAGCCACTGGCACCCCTGGGATGTGCTCAGTCCTTCCCATAAAGCAGGTTTATGCATGCTGCTGGCTTCCCCTCTGTATTATCTTTTTTTTTTTTTTTAATCAAAAAAGTAGCCAGTTGATTGACTTGGTTTCTTCCCAATCCTACCTGCCTGAAGCGAGGACCCCTGCACTCCACTGGCACTCATGTACAAATGGTCCTGGTTTTAACGCACCATTTGCTCTTTTCCAATAGGATTTGTCAGAGCTCGACACTTCTTTTAGAAAACCAAGTCATACTTAGCAGTTATTAAAAATGGGGTTTAGGTGTCTGCTGTTGGTCAACAGGATCCAAAACACCACTTGTACTTCTAGTGACTTTAAAAAACCACAACAAAACCAAATCCAAGGTATCCCACAGATCAATAACAGTTCTGTCTGGGTTTGCAACACCGCGTGCAGAGCCCTGATCTCAGCCAGGCAGGGTACCCGGCGGAGCCTTCCTCCTCCCCGTGCGGCCACCAGCATCCCAGCGTGCTGCTCCAGGCGATGCTCGTCCTCCGCCCAGCCACCACGCTCAGAGTAACAACCTCCCATCATCTGAGCACCCGGCGTGAAGCCCATTTCATCAGGAAAACACCCACTGCCCAACACATCCCACTGGGAAAGCGGCTCAGGTCCCTTCAGGCGATCAAAGAAACCCCCAGCTGGGGCAGGCTGCTTACAGCGGTCAGGATCTGGCCCTGAATCCAAAGAGGATAAATACACACCTCTTCCCCTGTTCCAGCTTCAATGGGTGCAATTCAATGACATCCCTGTGTAAATCTGGAACCAACCTGCTGACTTTACGGAGGCTATTCCACAGCAACTCAGGTTTAAATACAGTCAGAATTAGCTCAACATGTGCATGTTTCCAAAGGGGAGCTACAAACTTGCGGGAGCAGGCAATGAACATCTAGACACGTGGCCAGAATCCCAGCTGATGGGACTATGGCTGGATCTGCCGGAGATACACCGTGCCCTGCCACAGATACAGGCAGGTGAGCTCTTCTTTACTCCTGTAAATTAGTGTCTATGTTAAATCCCCAGAGTCTACATGACTACACACCAACCCTGGCCCAGAGTATGTGTTAAAGCAAAGCAAAAAAAAACCCAACCCAAATCCATGCAAGCTCTCCTTGTGAATGGCAAGTGGATTTTTTAACAAATTAATGGCTCAGACACATGGATGAGCTGAGGATACTGTGGCAGGTTGGTTTGTCTGGAGCAGAACCAGCACTGATGCCCAGGGACTGCAGCAGCAGTGCTTAGAAATGCAGAGAGGATTAATAACAATGATAAAATACTGTTAAACACATCCTGAATCATTCAGTTCTTGGTATCACAGGGAAACAGAGCAGAGAGGAAAAAAAAAAAATACCTGAAATTTGGGGGTTTAAGACATTTTCATTCCCATATTAAAATGCAAGTGCATTTCTTGTCTGCTACCATCTACGATGCATCAACTGAGCTACGTACCATTCAAGGCAGCGTAGGCTTTTTCCAATGATGTTATCCGTCTAGGGGCTACAGCGCAAGTTAAACGAATGAAAAAAAAAAAAAAAAAGGAGAGAGAAAGAAAAAGAGAGCCATGAGTGCTGCAGCTTGGTTTCTTGGTCACAAACAAAAGCAAAACCCAGGACGACACTGTCCCTAGCAGCTTAAAATTCCTCCGGTCCCGAGGTCCCTCGGCACAGAGACGCTTTTGGTAGCTAAATAACTGCCCGGTGAGCTGGGCGGGTGAGCTGGGCTCTTCACCGTGCACCAGGGACCTGGTTTGGGATGGGCTTGAGCCCACGAGCATCCCTCGAGCTACACCACGCTCCTGCGCAGCTCGAGGTCTGCACAGGCCCAGGGATGTGCTGACCAACTGCAGCATTTAGGGCAGATGCCAAAGCAGCAGAGGTTGTGCACCGGAGGAGAAAAAAAATATCGGAGGTTAAAGCAGATGAAAAGCAAACAGGGAAACTGTGTCAGTTCTGCAGCAACGGGGAGGGGAACAGGAGAAAAAGGGATCCCTGTGGAGAGGCTGGCGCTCGCCACCGACTCCGAAGTGACGAGCAATATCAAAAAGAAATGAATTTCCTGGGGACAAGCAGCAGCGCCGGGGCTAGGGCCAGGGTTCGCATGATGGGCCAAAGGAGGAAGGAAGCGGCTCATCACGCCGAAGCCGGCAGCCGCAGGGAGAGCCAGCGAGGGGACGGGGGCTGCAGGCCACGGCACCAGGGAGGCTCTTGCTGCCAAATTGCAACGCACGGGCACCGGAAAACTGGAGGGGATGGGGGCGGAGAGAGCAGGGGTGCGTGTCTGAATTTGCTGAGCACAGACACGAGCCATCTGAAGTAGCTCAAAATACGCATCAAGCATTTCAAGCAGGCTCAGGAAAGCAGCCGCTGCAGCGCCCAGGAGACAGAGCTCTGCCGATGCCTCCGGCCCGACTGTGGGCGCGGGGGGGGGTGCTTTGGTTCGGGGGCGCCAAGGGAACAGAAATCGTGGGTTTGCACAGGGCAGCTGCAGGTGCCGGCGTTTCGGTGCAGACCACGGTGAGCCAGGGCGCTGAGCCGGACCCTGCACCGCCTGGGCTGCAGGCAGGCAAATCCTGCCACGCAGAGGGACCCAGCCAGAAAATAAGCGATGCTGCCTGTCACTTGGTCCCCCCGAATCGCTGGGTGACACCCTGCCCGTGTGGGCACCATCCACCACGTAAAATGTTTAGGCAAATACGCAATGCAAAGGGGAGGAGATGCAGACGGGTCATGCTGGCATAGGGAAAGCCAAGCTGGCATCCAAGCCAAGAGGGAACAAGGTCCTGGCATAGCCCCTGTCAAGGAGGAATGCAGGCAGGAGCACGGGCAGGAGCGCAGGCAGGCTGCAGGCAGGCAGTAAGGAAGAGCAGCATGCAGCAGCACCTTTCCAACACGAATCAGAAATGGTTTAGGAAGGGCAGCACAGCGTTTCATTTGGTTGGCGGCAAGTCAAAGGCATTTGCAGCATTTCAGGTGAAGGTTTCAAGGTGCCATTATGAAATGATGCTGATTAAGAAAGATAATTAAAATTTCTTGTCCTGCTAACCCACATGGGCTGCTCAGCCTGAACCATGGGAGGCATCCCACCAGGCTCACGGCCCCGGCGCTGCGAGGTACGGAGCGCATCCCTACGTGCTGGACCGCAGCCGGGACGGAGCCGCGCTCATCTTGCCGTGGCACGAGCACCCTGACAAACGGGGGGTTTAGGGGTCACTGAAGGACACAGCAGGATATGAGGCTGGTGGGGAGCAGGAGGGAGGCAGGAGCAAAGCAAACGTGAGGGCTGGGATGAGCTGGGTGATAGTGCTGCCTCCTCATCAGTGCGAGGCTGCCACACACGCAGGCAAAAGGGAAAAGGAGACAAAAAGTAGGCAAAGAAAAAGGTGACTGGAATCATGGAGAAGCTTATAAACAGGCTTTGAAGCTGCGCAGCTATTCACACGACCTGCTTGAATTTTCACCTTCAGACTAGAAACACTGACCAGCTGAACACTAAAAATAATTCACCCCAGATAACAGGAAGGAGGATCAGAAGGAAAAATAACCCAGCTGCTCCCGTGGCGGTTAAATGTCGGGGCTGGGGGGTGAAGGGAGAGGGGCATGGACCTCAAAAAGCAACCTGGTGATGGAGCAAGATGCGCTCAGCTCCCATCACTGCCCCATCAAGCACTTTCCTCTTTTCTTTTTTTCTTGCTAGGAGTTTCCAACGCGAGGCACATCTCATCAAAGTCTTGAGGAGGATTGTGCTCTTGTGATTAAAAAAAAAAATATATGAAAAGGATGCCTGGATGTGTCGGTTTTTTAATTAAAGAACACTGCCTGCCCTACTTTATTAATTGGAGTATGGGAAATAATCTATCAGGGTGGTAGGGAGTTTGGGGAATAGGACAGATGGAGCTGGTGTACATTTTCAATCAAAGCACATAAAAATTAACATACAGAAAGATATTTTTTTGTGTGTGTGCTAGATTACTTATGCTTGATTTTTTTTTTTTTCAAAGGCTGAAATTAAGCCTGTTTTGTATCTCTGTGCCTCAGGAAAGAAGAAAAGAAAGGGTAAGTGCTGTGTTTATAGTGCTGGAGCTTCACCCCTGCTCGCTCATTTCTGTTTTAATGCCAAAAGATCATTCTGCTTTCAAAAACGGGTTTTGAAGGTCTTTTTTGCAGAGCAGAGACAAGCAGTGGGGAGAAAAGAACCTGGAAATCAAAAGGAAAATCTCAGGATGCCAGAAGGGTTGTGCTGCTGGGTTAAAGCCCCTGGGGAACCACGTGGGTAAAGTGCTGGCAGAGGCACCGGTGGCCTCAGGGCCACCATCCCACCTTTGAAAGGCTACAAATCCGCGCTGCAGAAGGGGGTTGCAGCCACTGGCCTCCTCCGGGCACTGGGAAGCACCTCTGGCTTTATTTTTCCAAAACCCACCTCATTCCCCCCAAAACCCCACTTTCCTCTGCAAACAGCATCCCTGCAGGCACACACCCCGCCAGCCACATCCGCACCAGCAGCCTCAGCGCACCCCACCCCCCCCCCCCCGACACATTATGGGGAAGATGCCATCTCAACAGAGAAATTATAGATTATCTTGAGAAAAAAGCGCAGATGATACTGAAATCCTTTTATCTGTTTCTGTCACACTTAAAAAATGGGTGTCCCCAAAAGGGACAGATAAGGAGGCTGGTCCTCTGCGTTCCTGCTGTTATCTGGGATGCTCCTTGCAATGCAGGAGGTACACAACTTGTTTAAAGAAAATTAAACCCCATAATTTAACCTACAGGCAACTAAAATCACCTCAAAGTGTTTTAAAATAAATAATTATACTAATTTTCCCTTTTCCCTTAAAATGCGTACTTTTCATGTAATTTTTGGCCAAAATGATCCACAAACCCCATAACTTCCCTTGTATTTATACAGTCATCTCCCAGGCTTTCCAGCTTTTAGATGCCTTTGCAATGCCATCCTGCTTTCCTAACTATTGCTTTCATGTAATGCTCCTCTGCAAAATAAAAGTGATTTTCACTCATTTTGTTTTAACGCCAAGCACGCTCTTCTGCTGCTGCTCTCCATTTGACATGGCAGGACTTTACTGCACAAGACTGAGGTAAAAAGAAGACTCTTAAATTTAAATTTGTAATCATCTATGGCTAGTTGGAAATCATTATTTTGTTAAGGCAGATGAAAAGCGATCAAAGCCAAGGCAGTGAATGTACCATTCTGTTGCCACCATCCACTTTGGTGTATTGGGGTGGAAAAGCAGATGAGAGGTTAATTGCTGTCAAACGGGGATTTTTTTGGGGCAAACACAAACAGCTTTTTTCTCGGGGAGACATTCTGGTGGTAGACTGACTACTAGAAAATAATTGTAAGTCCTGGAATTGTCTCAAAAGATTTAGCAAATATATGAAACAGTCTATAACAAATTGAGATGTCAGGTATGAAAACCCTCTCACCTGTGACTGCTCTTATTTAAAAACCCTGTTGGGAGGAGAGGGCCTGAAGCCTTGAGCCTGGCAGGGATGCTGCGACCTCCTCCCGAGCCACAATACACAGAATAAAATATGTCTTTGGGTTTGTGCTAGCATGGGCCAGCCCGTGGTGTGAGTGTTCAGCTGGAGAAGGAGGAAAGAAAACGTTGTGCATCGAAAAGAAAATCAATTTCCTCTACATCTCTGTTTATCAGGCTGCATTTCCCAGCCAGCTGGCAGGTTGAAGTATTTGCCTTCTGATGTGCTCCTTAGTTAATGGTGTGATTTGTGTCAGATCAGTGTCTCTAAACGTAATTATACCAATTTCAGTGGAGGAACGGGAAGACAAGATGTGGCTGGAGGTGTGGATACATCCTCGGCTTGCTCTGGCTTTACAGCCATGTAATTCCTTGGAAAACCAGAGTTCTGCAAAACTTGCATTTCACCGAGGGCTCGTTTAAGGGCCAGCTGATGCGAGCTGGCACCTTGCTGCTTGGGACCGAAAGACAGGAGGTCTAAGGCCAAGGTCTGCGGAGGTCTCGGGGAACCTCCCCATCGATTTGGCTGGGCCATACGCAGGGATGCAGAGGGTCGATGCAGCAACCATGCCCTGGAGTGAATTTCTCAGACAGCTCGCCTTTTGTTACAGCCCTCTCAGGCGTCTAACACCTTTTTGCTCTTCCCAATAAGGGCACATAAATGTTTTCCTCTCTGTCATATTTGTCTTCCCTAAATTGCGCCATCCCCATGGAGGCCGGCCAAGGAAATGGGAAGCAATCAATAAAGATGACATCGGTTTTTGCACCCATCTGTGCTCTTCCAACAGTTGTAATTACATACACTTAAAACCCAGACAGGTTTTTACCCACGTTTCTGACGGCAGCTCTCTTTTCTAGGCAGCCTGGAAGCGACAGACAGAGCTACCGCAGTGAAGCACGGGGAAGGACGCGGCTCCGGGACGGTGCTTTCTGCAGCTGGGTGCACAGCGCACCCCGGACACCCCCTCCTCCCCTCTCCCACGTCTGCCCTGGCGTAGCCGCACGCGGGATGCCCACGAGCCAGAGAGGGCTTTCACTGCCACGCTGCTGCAGCCCGATGCGGACCCTACGGTTCATCACCCCCTTCCCACGACTCTCCCTCGCCACTGAACCTGCCAGCTCATTGCAACACTTATTTATTTTAAGAAAATGCTTAAGAAAGCAGGTGCTTTCTTAAATACAGAACACAGAGCTCTGCCCTAGATTAGCTCTTGAAAAAATGCCATCATTTCAAGGCAACAGCAGCAGTACTGATGGGCGATGCTGAGGCCAGCTGTCTTGGTCAGGGGAACTTCAGCAAATGCACCAAACAACAACAAAACCAAAGTGGGAAGCCCAGGAATGTGAGGTCAGGGCCAACCTTCCCCCAGTTGACAAAATAATTGCTTGCAATGCACAGCTTACAACTCCCTGACCACCACCAAATACTTGGCCAATGCGCTGTTTAGGCAAAAAGGCATCATTTCTTACCGGGTTTGGGGATGAGTCCTTGAAAAGGCCTGTGAAAAATAAGGAAAAAAGGAGATTTCAAATGAAATGCCACTGGGAAGCCAACATGCCTGGACTGAGCATCCTCCCGTGGCCCAGGGAGGGTTAGGGACCAGCCTGTCCTTCACACGCTGTGCCATGACTCACGTGGGACTGGCAGGAGCTCTGCGGGGACGGGGCCTTGTGGTCCTGCTCAGGGCAGCATGCGCCCCATTGGTAAGAAGAGAGGCACCATGGCCCAGCGAGAGGGTGATGGAGCCACTCTTAAAACTAGTTTTGTCCCCATCTCACCTTACAGTGAAACACTGATAAAGTGCTTTTCCCCTCCCACTTGTGTCCATCCCCTTTGGCCGCAAAACCCACAGGGCCACGCCACGAACGGCCAGCGCTCAGTGCCTCTCCAAGCGCTGTGGGACCCGCAGCACTGCCTTACACCAGCCAGAAACCAAGCAATGCTTCTCCTATCTCAAGCCTCCTAGAAAAGAACTGGGATTTCTCTGCCTGAACATCCATTGCACCAAGCACCATTTCTGCCCGCCAGTGCTTTCCCCACTGCCTCCCCGGGCAGCAGACAGGAGGCAAGAGCAGGAGTCTCTAATTTTATGGTCCCCTCCTTTCTGTTGAACTGTTAGCTGTTGACTTAATTACTGTCTTGGGGGCTGGAGGCATTTACAGCGTTTACAGCCCTGCCCCAGTGGGGCTGGCAGAGCTGGGGGTGCGTCTCCCCCTCCTGCTCGGAGGGGTGGCTGTCACCTCTAGCCATGTACCTCGTCACAGTGAACTTGATTTTATCGGCGACGGCCAATATCCTCTCCAGGTTCTGCGAGCCGAAGGTGCACGGCTTCCTGAAGGGGATCCCAGGGGGCAGCCCCTCGATAATCACCGATCCGGGATTGCTCTTGATCCGCTTATATGGCACTTGCACGGGGTATTTAATCCCCAAGGCCTCACCTGGGAGAGAAGTGAGTGGTTAAGCCAGGGATGCCATTTCTACCGTGGCTCTGGTTCCAACGCCCGCCCACCAAAGCACGGTGTGGCACGAGCAGGCTGCTCGAGGCACCACACCAAGCACTAGATCAAGGACCAACATTTTCAGGCCACCTGCATGGTGGAAGCAGAGGGGTCCCAACGCAGCCACGTGTGCACAGCAGAGCTGGTGGGGCCGAGGAGAGGCATGGCTCTGTGTGATGACGCCCATGCGGTGCAATGGGAGGGATGAGAAGCCACTGCTTTCTGCTTTGGGACGTTATTTGGAGATAACTCGGTAGGCATGTTCCCTCTCTGAGGTCTTGCTGCAAGACCAAGGCTAAACATTTCCTTGCAAGTAATTGCTCTTGCAGGGAACCTGCACAAGTCTTACCCCTGCCCAGAAAATGGGGATAACAGCATTTCCTTGCCTTGCCTGATAAAGAATAGATGCTGGGGCAGGCAGGTCATGGGAGGGCCCTGCAGAGCCCAGGTAGGTGCCCTGGGGACAAGAGGAGTGGCATCTATTCATCCCCCAAAGTTCCTGCAAGTGCTTGTGATGGTCCCTCCTTATTCCCTTCCCAACCTCCCACCTCCCCTCGTGCTCCCACAGCTCCACAATTCTCCACTAATGAATTTACCATTGTTGTTCTTCATGGAGGTGGGGTTAAAAGAGAAAAAAAACCCACCAAAAATGTAGCTGCAGAGGTCAGGCAGTGGGGAGGGCTGCAGCACACTCCCCATCACGGGCTCCCTTGTCCTGCATGGGAGCTGCCTGGGCAGCAAGCACCTGCAGCAAAGAGCACCAATTCCCAGACCCACCGTTCCCTCCCTGGCCCCCCGAGATGCCAGCCGCTCAAGGGGGAGGCTAGAGAGAGCACCTGGCAAGGAGGAATCGGGACGGGAGGGGAAGGATAAGGAGCAAAAAATTAGGAGGGGATAAGGGGGGAATAAAACCAACTGCCCCCCGGGTTTCTCACCATATTTCTTATTGAACAGGTCCTGGACTTGTTCCCGCAGCGTGTTAGCGATGTCTATTCTGGAAAGCCTGGCATCATAATTTTCTGTAAAATAAAGAAACAATTATGGACTTCTGCTGGTAAATTAAAAGGCACTCTGTGACTTTTAAGTAATGCCATTTTCTAATTATAGGAAAGTCCTTATCTTGCAATTAGCTAATCTCTGGAGTGGGCCATTCAAAGTCCTTAAAAATAATCTAAACAGAAATGTTTTTTTTTTCCCCCTGCCTGTTTGCTAAGAATAAAAGCCGCATGAAATCGAAGATTCAGTTGCGATAATTACTGGCGTTAAAATAAAATGCACTCCAAAGCCTCTCTGAAAAGGCAAAGCCTTTGAAAAGCCTCCGTCCCTCTCTGCAAACCCTTGTAGGCCCCCACGGCCCAAGGAAAGGGATGCTCAAGCAGGGCAGCACTTGTGCCCGAGCCCATGAGCTTCTCACCATCGCTCCTTCCCCCAACAGAGCCGCCATGCAGGCTGCTGTGTGCACCGGACAGGAGCGGTGCTTATACAAACATCACCCAGACGGAAAAAGCCCCAGAAAAGGCAAACTCTGACGCTTGCAAGACTTAATTACGCATCTCGCAAGGTCAGACAGTGAGATAAGCAAAGCTGGTTAATTAGGGCACCTTCCAGAGTGCTTCAAGCCTCTTCCTTGGACCTACAGGACTGCCTGCCCCCGGCTGTGCGTCTTGTCTTCTGGCTGTCTGTCCCTCCCATCCTCTCACCCCACCTCATCCTCTCCTCTCCTCCCTCCCATCCTTGCCTTGCCCTGCTCCTCTGCCAACCGACCGAGCCCTGACGCCCCGCGGCCGCTCCCTCCCCACGTCTGTTTGCTCTATGCAGCCCCCGCCACGGGGCAGGGACTCTGCCTCAACCCCCTAGACGCCTCCAGGCCCTCACCTTGAAAGCCCTGTCTCTTCACAGCATCCTCCAGCAGCGCCTCGCTCGAGTCCCTCTCACCTGTGGCTGAGACAGGGGACATAGGAGGAATTAGGATTCGCGCAGCCGCCGAGGGGGACGCACAGGAGGGGGTTTCCAGCCAAAAAAACG